AATTAATTTTAGAGTTATTTCTGATAAATATAAGAGGGTGTTATTCAGCATTAAACTGAATAAAAGGAAAAGTGTTCAGTGTTCAGGTGGCGGAGGCGATGAGAACAATAAACTGAAAGAGGCGAAAAGTAAACGCCCACTCACAAACTTAACCCCGATTGCATTTCCTATTTTAAACTTTACAGGTCAATTTTCAATTACAATTTTCAATTTAAACCATTTTAAAACAACAAAAAACTTTAGTAGGTCAATTAAACACAACGGAAGGTAATTCAAAGTCTTTTTAATTGGAACTCAGTTAAAAATCAACAAAAAAAACCTAGTTTGAGGAAGTTAAAATCAAAATGTGATTGACAGAATAGCAAATAAAATAAGTACATGTCATTTCTGAGCTATGCTAGAAAAAAACAAATTGAACTAATTAAGAACGAAGTAAATGGCTCAGTTTAAGAGCGCCGAAGTACAATTGTACTGAAAATAAAAAGTGTTCAAGAGTTCCGACAAAGATTTTTAAAAACAAAAACTTTTACGAGGACTTAAGATAGAACAAAGCTTAAATACTAAATCTCTAGCACAAAAACATGCGAGAACTTCTGTAATGGCTTCTGACGTCAATCAAAACAAACAAACTTTTCTTAAGAATTGGCGTTTGTAGGTTTTTGCAATTTAACAACAAACTACCAAGCACTTCAGTAAAAAAAATTGAGAATCGATTATATGCTAATTGTACAATTCGAATGCAATCAATTAAAGATTGAAACTTTACTTTTTTTAAGTAGGTATATCCAGTTTCAAAAAACAAAAAAAATTGAATTTGTTTCTTTTTTTACAAAAAATTAATTTTTTGTTAAAGAAAACACTGCTTCCTAGACCTGTGAAGACAGTCGCAACATTCAGGGCTTTTCCCTGATACGTGCAGTCATTTTATTATTTCTAATCAATCTTTTAAATTCAATTTTGAAAAATTTTTGAATTATTATTGTTATAATCAATACTTTTTATCCAATTTTCCTTTTTTTTGCATCCAAATTGCTTATAATTTGTAATTTCTATAGAGAGTAGCTATTTTAATGTCTGCAAATTGGAAATTTTAACAGTTTTTCAACCTTTTTAAACTGTTTTTCACCTACTGCGACATTTTTTCAGCTTATATGATTAGATTTCAATGATACTTATGTTTTTTTTTTCCGAAAAATCCGTGTTCAGTTGAACCAAAAAATAACCAGAAATATCACATTTAGAGATTTTCCTATTGACAGCAAAAATAAATTCCATTCATTACGAGCCAAAACTCTGCACTGTTTAGTCGATTAAAATACTTTCTACAAAAATAATCATAATTTTTGTGTGATTATAAATTATAACTCATATTCTTGAAAAAATTTGTTTGGGAGTTTAAAACTTCGTTTATGCCTCTAACTGTGGCAATTATAATTAATTATAATTTTTAAGAGTACTGGTATAATTGAAGTATAATCGAACAATTTCTTTTTTTTGAATATGGAACTACCCCAAATAACAAAACAGAAAAACATCCATTATCAAATTGAAATTGTTCCAATCAGAAGCTCTTTTTATGTTTTTGGGACTTTTTGTCGCCACCAAAAAAGACGTTTTTAATTATCGTCGCGCCCGGTAAAAAAAAATTAATTATTCATGACGGGAAAGTGGAAATGGTTTTCTGACAATCTTATGACAGGAAAGGTGGAGTGGTTTCTAGGAAAATTTATGGCAGGAAAAAAAAGTGGTTTCAGGACAAATTAATGTCAAGGAAAATGAAATGATTTCATGAAAAATAAATGACAAGAAAGATGAAATGGTATCAGGACAAACTCATGACAGGAAAGGTGAAATGGTTTCATTACAAATTCAAGAAAGGAAAAGTGAATTTGAAGCCTTTGAAACATAATTTTAATTAACTGACAAAGGATCAATAAAGGTAACTAGACGTTGCACTTAACATGTGAAATGGTAGTGATAATTAAGTTCTGATATTTCAGTTAGAACATTTCTGAAACCCCAAATAAAATATACATTTCCTCGACAATCAAAAAAATGTCTCCGCTCACGATTACTTTTTAAACTTTTAAATAACGGAAAAACCAAAATGTGACCAAAATTTTTAGACAGTGTTTTCTGAGGTTTCTAATTTTTTAAAGATAGATGACTTTAATGTCTAAAATGTCTATTATGCCTATATAATGCCTATTATGTCTATTATATATACATATACGGGGGCGGATCTAGGATTTTCTCGAAAGGGATTAGATTTTCAAACAATTTTCGAAAAATTTGTCGACCTTTAATGTGGAATAATCCTGCCTATATGTGGAATAATCCCCATTCACTGTATAATTATTTCAAAAGGTGCTGTTATGATTTCTCCAACAGACAATTGTAAAAAAACATAACCTTTTTATTGCAAGTTTATAATGAGCTTGTTGAGGATCTATGGACTTAAACTTGTCGCATAAAGTATAAAAAAACACTACAAACTGGCCGGAAAAAAGTATCAATGTAAATGATTAGTTTAGAATCTTTCCAACAATTTAAACAATTTAAGTTTTAAAAAACGAAACAGATTGCTTCAGCATGTCAGCAAAACTCAATCAAACCGTTTGTATCAGGTCAACAAATGCCAGGTCAGGCTGGCGGGACTTCAAGTTAAATAGCAAAATTAGGGACTTAATAAATCAATTTTTTTCAAAAGTCACGTACTTTGAATAATTTTAAGATTTTTTTCAAAAAAACTTATGTATTTTTTCAACATTTGTCGTTGTTTACAAACATTTTGAGCCTTAATTACCATTCAAACTTTCAGAAAAAAAAATTATGACGGTTGTTTCCGTCCAGTGTGTAATTTTTGGGTGTGCATTTTAAAATGCGGTTGATGTAATTAGCGAAAATCATACTTAAGTAGCGCGGCATAAACAATAAAAAGTATTATGGACTAAACTTGCTTACCCGGGTCGACAAAAAGTGCTTACCATGATATTTCATTTTATAAAAAAAGGCTTATCATACTAATTCATACTATTTCATAGACCAAAAAAAAACAATATGATAAGCATTTTTTCTATACTGAAAATTTATGATAGGCATTTTTTCCATACTATGGAATTGTATGCCAAGCATTTTTTCCATATATGAAAATACCAAAAAAATATTTGTTCTGAAATTTTGTGTTTCATCCGAAACACTAACCCTGGACTTTTTGTCATAAGAAAACTCAGAGTGTACTGGCAGTTACCACGCAGATAAACACTGCTTTTGGTAATTTTTGCAACCTACGTTAATTTTTACATTCACATGGAATTATATACCAAAAATGTAACTTTTTGTTTTGATTTAAAAATTTTAGTAGTTGAGAAAAAACAGCCTGTTTTTTGTTTATAAATTGAATTTTATATTAGCAAATGAAATAAAAAAAACAATAAAGGTGTTCAGAAAAAAAAACACTTTTTTGTGACTTTTGGAGTTTTTGGGTCAAAAATTCATCCTGATCTAGTTACTAACACGAAAAATCAATTTCTGCATGCAGAATTTTTTTTCGCAAAAATTTATATTTGAGCACAAAAGCAAGTTTGCAACCAAAAGAGGCATTAATAACTTTTTACCTCAAATTTGTGTTTTTGCTTATGAAAAAATGCATATCATACAATTTTCATATATGAAAATTATATGATAAGCATTTTTTTGACCAAAATAAAAATCATGTTTTTGAGAGTCAAAAAGAAGCATTCTTTCAATAAAAATTTTTTAAGCTCATGTAAATTCATCCGGAAAAATCGTTAAAATAATTTTGAAGATTTTATTTTTTCAATAGCAAAATGTTTATCATACAATTTTCATATATGAAAATATTATGATAAGCATTTTTTTAGCAAAATTGAAATCATGTTTTTATTGAGCAGAAATATTTAAAAGATGGAAATGGAACAGAAGTATTTCTCTTAAAACGTTCTATATAGTTTTTAAATTTTGTGTGAAAACTGTATGATAAGCATTTTTTCCATAGTCGCAATACATGAAATTTTATGATAAGCGTTTTTCTTTTATGAACGTCAACCCGGGTAGTTTTCTAAGACTAGTTTACCTATGAAACTTAAGGGGCTTGCACTGCTTCTAAGGTTTAAATGTCGCACTGAAGTCCATTCGGCTTGAAGCCCCGTCTTCCTATTGTACCTTTTGTACCTCTTTTGTCCTGGACACTCACAATGTTTTGGCTTCAATGTAACTTCGGGAGGGAAAACCTTTTTTTTTTGACCTGGCATAGAATTTTAATTACAAATAGCCAGCTATATAAGCTTAAATTATAAAATTTCTTCAATTGCGTTTTTTACAAGTAACTGACAGTGGAAGCGGAATAGAGCTATGCTTTATAATTTAACAACCATTAACTAAAACTATATTAAGAATTAACAATCGAACCAGCCGGATGTCGTTTGTCTGTCTAAATAAGTAGCTTAAAACTCAAATCCCGAACAACCAGAAACTTTTTGGAACAACCGTTTTTTGACAACCAGAAACTTTTTGGAAATTTTTGATGTAGTCCAAACCAGACATGATGTGACATAACTCTCGACCTTGAATGGTGTGGTACCTTAATTTGCCTCTAAAGCTCGAATACTCTTTTCGTTCCCATTTCGTGGTCGAAAAAAAAAACAAGAAAAACCAATTAAAAAACCATTTTCAAAGATATGATTTGAAAATTGAACGCTATCTAGTTAAATTTCAGATAAAACAACTCATATTTGCGTATACGCGAAATTGAATTTTTTATCTCTTGCTTTTAAATGCTCATTTTACAAAAAAAAAGGTTTTTTTATTACGAATTTCTTTTTTATTGAAATTATCTTTAAAGAAAAGCAAGTTTGTTTGAATCTCTTTGGAAATAAAACTGGTTGAACTAGTTCTAATTCTTAAAATGATTCCTGAAAAAAAAACAATCCAAACCAGGCTAATCAATCAAGTCAAGTTTGTTTTATTTTGATACTCACAATCTAGTTGTTTTTGCAACTGCTGCACAAGTAGCTGCATTGTGTGCACATTAGTGTCGGCCAGCCCACCATTCGTCTGACTGAACGCGGATGTGTCGTCACTGTTGTCGATTACGTAATAATAGTGTGCACTTCGGCATAACACGCGGGGGCTCAAAAGGCAAACACAAGCGAGAGAAAAGAAAAGATATATTTTTAACTTCGATATCCGGGTCGACATTTTAGTTTTGCCAGTTTCTTGGTCTTTCACTCAGTTGACGATGCTTGTTATTATTTTCTTTTTCTCAAATGACTTTAACCTGAAATCTAAGCTAATTAAGTTCTTAGGATTTACTTTTTTTTTCAAATTAAGATAAATTGAGATAGAGAGGAACTAATTAATTTACTACTGACGGTATCTTAAATCAAAATCGGGCTTTTTTGCTGGAGGCGTTGTTCTTTGGTGACGATTTTTGATTAACGGTGTTTTTATCGTACATTTACCCTCAAAAGCGAAAAGATTAACTGAAGATTTCAGAAGTTGGCGCAGAACTGTCTAAGAGAGAGAAAATAAATAAATTGTTTTCCCTCCTATCGCTAAACTAACAGCAAGTTTTTGTCGCCTACCTTTGATTAATATTAGCTTTCTATTACAAAAGGAGCCAATCAGATTTCAGGATTCAGAAAAAAAAGGTTTTTTTTTCTGCTGACTGAAAACGTCCAAAAGCTAGCCTGATTAAAAGGGTTTTGACATCAAAATAGTGAAAGTAAAAATAACTAGATCCATTGTTACGCACACAATAAGCAGCCAAAAAAGGTTTGTTCATGTATAAAAATATAATACGAAAAACAGAAGTGCATTACCTAAAAATAATGGATGAATCAGAAACTTTGTTCAGCTCAGTTGACTTTTACGGTCCATGACGCAAACTATTTAGATTTAATAGCGTATATTAGTTATGTCTTGTCTGGAAATTGACGAAGATATGTATCCCCCATTAGCCCCCATTAGTAAGTGTAATTCTAAGTGCTCTAAGTATACTACTTAAAATTTCACCAAATGTTCTCTGTGAAATTGTATAGAATTGTCCGGAATTTTTATAGGTTTTTAAGCGTTTCAAAAACATTGGTCCAAAAACATTAACCAAACTGTTCATAGCTTAAATGAGAAGTAGAAACACACTTTAAACTTTTGCTCAGTTCTTATTTATGCTGAGGTAAAGTGGTGAGACCAGTTATAATGATAATATTAATTGATTATAATAACATTTACTACTCATAATAATTAATAATTATTAATATTAAATTTAATTGTGGTTTCTGTGAGTTTCAAACTTTTCTGCCAGTTTATTTCAAAAGTTAGCAAAAAAGTTAGAAAAAAAATCCAATATTTACAGCCAAGGTTGTCGGACCAAAGGGAAAAAATTGATTATACGGGATTTTTGTTGACTAAAATTTTGTCTATATAATCCATTAACCTGGCAAATTAGGACCACGTAATGGATTTTTTTAATCCAAATTAATCTTTTTACTAAAACTATATCAATCTATTAAAATGCATGATAATCCAATGATTTTTCTCTCCATCAACTTTTTTCACTTTCAATTCCACAAAAGGGAACAAAAAAGCGAAAAAAATTATTCAATAAAAATAAAGGAAAAAATTATGTACCGCGAAATAGAGGATTGTTATTGGTAATGGATACTGAAAAGTTAAAAGAAGAAAGTTGTGATAACTGATGATTATAACCTTTTAAAATTATAACCTCCGCTTACGCATTAATAGCGCGAATTATATCGCGCGTTAATTGTCCCACATTGGCCAAAATGGCAATCTTTAAACCCCCGTAACTTTACGAAAAATGATCACAGGTGAAATATCCTTTCAAATTTAAGCTCAATACAACAGTGTCTTCCGAATGATATAAAAAATCCTGTCAAAAATGGCTAGTTAAAATGTCGAAATTTGTCTGAAGGAAAAAAAACCCACTCCGAGCACAAGTATTCCGTTACTTTCGTATCGAAAGTCGGAAGAATAATCAATTTTCATGAGCCATTCATCCATGAGAAAGGGAATAAAATCGACAATATTCATTGACTGGGGAATAAAATCGACAATTTTCAATAGAATAGAATCTATTATTTTCAAATAATTTGACAATATAATCAATGTTTTAGGCCGCAAAAATTCACGAACAAGTTTTTTTTTGCTGAAAATTGATAACAGCTGAACAAATTCTTTTAATACTTCGATGAGAACTTTGCAAACGTACATTTTATAAAAATATCTGCAGAAACTAAAATGTTTTAAAATCAACGTTTTGGTAATTTAGAAATCGAACAAACATGTTCATCCCAGTTTATATCATCTCATAAAACTTTGACCCATTTTTTATTTAAAAATTTCAGAAACGTTTAACCCCCCACCCCACTTTCAGTCTGTTTATGACAATTAAAATTTAGAAAACGTAAGCCGTAGCGGCTGCACTAAACACAAACTTTGATAACTTTCAAAATTTGCAAAATTCCTCAAAAACCGCTACAAAAAGTCATCAAACGCGACAATAATGGATGATTTTGATTTACAAAACGTTATGTTCAGAATCCAATTTTAATGGATTATAACCGATCATAATCGATTATCATGGGTTATAATTACTTAGAATATTACGATTATAATCAATTTTTTCGGATTATATTAGAGTTTTTTTGTAATGTGTTACATATGGACAGTAAAATGACAAAAGAATCGAATACTATTCAAAAAATTCCAGTGCAGCATTTTTTTTATTGACTTTTTTTGTAGTTTTACTGACAATGAAGTTCCAATATAATCAGTTTTTATCCATAAAACTCCTGTGAGGGTTACGTGGTATAAACGAAGATGCTTATATTATTTTTTAACAGCTCTGGTAGTTGGTCATGTTCAACTCTCAGATAGGACTACTAGGGATCACTAATAGGAGATAGGGATCACTAATTACTTAGAAAAAATTACTTGGAAAAACAGAATGTAATTTTCACGTTTATGATGTTGCCAATGACACCTGTAAAAAACAGATATAGAAATGATGACTCAAGCAAGTGTCACACGTCATAACCTTGATATGATATGCTGCTCCGATTTTTGAAAAAAAGCCTAAACTGTGAGGTTTGGAGCGGTTTTTATTCAGACCAACGTTGCCCGGTACTGATTTTTCAAAATTTCCATCAAAATTGGTTTCTCATTTTCATTAATTTTAAAATTCCGAAGAAGGAATTTTTTTTTGTTTATTTTGACTTTGTAGAAAAATCAGGCAAAATTTGATTGGAAACATCAAAATTGTGAGGTTATATCAAGATCATTAGTTTCGATTGATTTTGTGGCAAACTTAAACCTTTGTCTAAAAAGTAGAACCAAGGTGTGTTCTGAGGCTGATGTAAGTCGGCAGTTTTTAAATGCGCTAATTTTAAAAAGCAAGCTAAATTTGTTAGGGAAAAAATAAGTTATAGCTGATGGCATCATAGAGCTACAAACTAATTTCAGAAATAATGTTGGCCTTAAATTTTTCTCTTATTGAAGTTTTTTGAATATTCAAAGCTACTCTTTTTTCTAGCACCAAAATTAAATTTGTTGGTGTCAATCATTTTGTCGAGGTGCAAATCAAACACAGTTTTCTTCTAATTCAAAGTTTTTCCTTGTCCCTGATTTTAATTGCTGTTTTATCTACAGAGTAAAGCAATTAACTCATTTTAAAAACTTTAATTGGTTATATGATAAAAAATAACGAGACTGCTGTTATTTCAGGGCAAAGTCCAGAATGTTCTGACTGCCCTTTAGAAGTTCTTCAATAGTTTTTGCTAAAAGCATCTTGAACGATGATAAATTGTAGACTGTCAATATCAAACAATTAATGTTCAAATTCGAGTCGTAAGAAAAAAACACATGAACAATTAGCTTGATTTCTATTGGGAGCAGTTTGGTGTGCAAAATGATAGTTTTTTGTGCATTAAGCCTTATAGATCAATAATTCATACTATTAAGCGAGCAGTTTTTACATAGGCTCAAAACTCAGATAGTATAAAACGTAGAAGACATTCGTGAGATTACGTAGTTTTAAGGTTCAATCTACACTGTCTAAGTTTGTGTCAGAAAATGGTCATATATTGTTCAATTATCCGACCGATGAAAATGGGAAGGAATGTTGTATTTCCGCGTTTTTAGGTTTTTTCCTTTTTTTTTGTTGTTTTCCACGCAAAATCAGGTACTACAAACAATCATCGAAGCAGGTCGTTTGGTATATCATACTGAAACCCTTTCAGTCGTGATTCGGACGACATTTAGACAAAATTTGGTGTCGAAGAAAATGGTTTTTCGACAAATTTCGAGCCTTTCCTTTCCTTGCATTCTATCATTGGACGAATTCTCTTGAATCCCTTTTGAATAAAAAATAACAAAAAAAACTGATTGTAAAACCGATTGGTTTAATTTTTTATTATTCTTTTTTTAATTTTCGGCTTTCTTTATTTTCACCATTGAGATCATTCAAAATGATTTTTTACAGTTTTCCAGTTTTTTCCTAAACATCTTGGAAAAGAAAGAAAATACTTTTGTACAGAGTAGAATATTGGCTTATTGCTCAAGGTCTTCTCAACACCTGTGCAAATATTTTTTGCTTGACACGAAAATTAAAAGCCCTATGAAAGCATTAAACTGGAACGAAATAGTTGGAGAAAATCTGAATGTATCATGAGCCAATTTTTTGGCTTTTGATATCGAATGCGCCGTGGTTGAATTACATATTGGTTGGCATCAATCTAACATTTTTCGTTTTAATCAAAGGGTATACTCCATAAAACTGATGACTATCAAGTGTACAAAGAGCGTCTGGTAATTTAGAAACAAGTTGTTTTTTGTTTTATCGCGAGCGAAGCCACTGGTACATTCTTTCTCTTCAAGGCCCTTTATCACACGCTGAAGACCAAAAATCAACATACGGGCTTTTCAGCTGATTATAACAGAACTGCTCATGAACACTTTTAATTGTCCTATGTGATTTTTAGGATTGTTGTTTTTTCAGACAGGTAAATATTTCTCTAGCATATATTTCTCTAGCATCTAAAGCACCGCGCATGGATCATGATGGGCTCGATATCACTAACCCACCGTCCTGGGTCGGTGTTGAATTGGGTCTCACTATTTGGGGTTTAATTTATAAATGGTCATTTCTATTGGATCGTTTTTCAAAAATGATGGGCACCGATCAGGTGAAATGAGATAACATATTAACACTTCAAAAGCCCGGAGTAATTCTTTAAACTAAAATTAAGTCAATTAGTTCATCATCACTACTTTTCATCAATTTAATTGATCTTCTCCAGAAACGAATCGCTAACAAGACTGCTCGTATCAGGGCGAGGCCCTGAATGTTCCGACTGCCTCTTAAGATCTATGCCGCAGTAATAGCATGAAAAAAATAAATGTAATAATAAAATGATTTTTTTTGTGAAATTTATCCCCCACGCGCCATATTAAGTACAAAATGATAGATTTCGCTCCTAGAAACAAATCAATTATGGCAAATAAGAGTCCTTCAACCATATTGGAACAATTTCTAAGACAATTTAAATATCCGCTTACGCGTTAATAGCGCGAAATTTATCGCGCGTTAATTGTCCCA